CATTCAACTTAAAAACAGTGTCTGGTAGGACTGACAATTGTCTTCACGACTGTCTAGCATCATGAGAGTAACCCCTCGAGACACGTGTCAGTCGACACTTGAGTGTCGAAGGCGAATTCTCGAAATCATTGGAGACTGCGAGGTTATGGGTACCACATAGTACGTCATACCCTTCCTTACATAAGGCATAGGATCAGACAACCCAACTTATGGGTATGACTGACCTGCGTAAGTTGTATGACAAGACCACACCAACTTATGGCGCTCCAGCCCGGTAGACGAGTAAACGTAAGGCATATGACGATGCCACACCAACTTATTGTGTGACTCGCCTCTGCCTACACAAATGACATAAGGCGTATGACAAGACCCACTAACTTATAGTGAGGTTGGTCAGCCTTAACATTCGACATATACAAAGAACTGAGCTGCCTCAACTTATGAGGGGTCTAGCCTCTGCCTGAACAAACGACAAAAAACATATGTCTAGAACACACCAAATTATGGTGTGAAAAATCAACCCAAACAATGACATATATCATAGAACCAGACTACCACACTTGTGGGTAGCCGAGCCAACTTAGACAAACAACATGTGCATATAACCGAACAACCCCCAACTTATCGGCTCACCCAACTTCCACGATACAACTATATCCAACAAGTAAGATTACACCTTCATTATCTCTTCTGACCGATGATCAGGTCACTTCAACTTATGGAGATCCCCAACCGAGTCTCAATTATTTTTAGAACAATTGTCAAGTTCGTGCGTTTTATGTTATCTTGGGCATAGGACTTGACTATCCAACTTATGAATGAGTCCAGCTTGTCCAGGTTACCTCTCAATTTTATACTATGAACTTTTTTTTTTTTTTTTCTTTGTCTTTTACCCGCTTATATGGCTAGATCTCCCAACTTACGGCTCCTAGGCTGCCAATGATATAATATATAAATAAATATAACCAATTTTATACTCCGGTTTTACTTAAGTTCACGACTCATGACTTGGTCACACCAATTTATGGTGTGACTAACCTTTGTTTGTATCCCCCTCGAAAATAAAAATGGAACTGGACACACACACTTAAAAGGTGTCCAACCCTATTCAATAACAAAAGAAAGAAGGATTCGAAGTACCCAACTTATGAGTCTCATCCTCCGTTAAGAAACCCCAAGAAAACATGTGACCGAACGGTCCAACTAACGGAGCGTTTCAACCTTTGAAAGTCAGACAAAGCAACCCAGCATACAAAAAAGAAACATAGCCCCGAGCCCATACTTGGAATGGGTTCAACCTTTGGTTGATCCGGTCAGATACAAGCAAAACACCTTCCTCCCACCTTTGGTTGACCCGGTCAGACACGCGCAAATAGTATTTATTAGCTTAACTTTTCAGATCATATCCTGAAATAAAAACGAACAAAAAGTAATAAACTTTCTCAGTCATACCTTCAAACGGATAGAGGGTAGTATAGTTTTAAGGGATGGGATCACATGCGTAAAACGATCATTATACATGTACGTTCCCTGCCTTCAGAACCCCGCCTGGGCTCTGGCAGAGCTCCCACAATCAGTGTATTGACCCCCCATAAGGTCTTCCTGCAGATTACAGTTTGCAATCTCGCTTGCCACCTTCCTCTCCGATCCAGTCAGACTAGACTTAGAGTAAGAAAGACATAGATAGAGGTCATTGAGTCTCTTAGATACACGAGGGGTGCTCTCAGACTCACGTGAGAGGACATTGAAACCTTCAATCCCATGAGACCCGGGTCTCCCAATGGTGGCCAATGACGTAGTAAAGATTATCAGATTACGACCAGAACGCAAAGTACCGGCCCCCAGACGAACCTCCACATCGCATAAGTGACTCCCTCTACCAGACCATAGCGATGCAGCCTAGAAAGGTTGCGTTGGAACAAATCACACTCCGTGCTCTATTCATAATACCAACAAAACTTTTAGGAATAGTCAGTCAAACCAGCAACACGCAAGCAGTTGCACGTAGTAGCCAAACAAGGCAGCAATGACCACTGATCAAATCCACAATACACAGTGAGCTACAACAGTATGTGGTGATGCACGACGGAGCACGGCGTCGCACGACAACGAGACACAACAAGACCCCAACAACTTAGCAATGTACAATCCCTCACAATAGCAACGCCCGATATACAAACAGCAGCAGCGCATCAAACTCTCAACAAGCTCGACAAGGCATAGTCAAATGCACAACATTGTGCACAACGTCCGACTACCGTCACACAACTAACAGACGAAGCCACATGCTTAACGCTCACAACAGCAACCAGAGTAAAGGCAAATATCGCCCACACACTAGCAATGAAGTAAAGTCAATGTCGCTCACATACCAGCAAACAAAGTAAAGTCGATTTCACCCACACAACAACAAACAAAGTAAAGTCGATGTCGTCCACGCAGACTGCAACAACCCTTTCTCCCTCTCTCTCTCTCTCTCTCTCTCTCTCTCTCTCTCTCTCTCTCTCTCTCCGTTATTACTCTCTCTCTCTCTCTCTCTCCGTTATTACTCTCTCTCTCTCTCTCTCTCTCTCTCTCTCTCTCTCTCTCTCTCTCTCTCTCTCTCTCTCTCTCTCTCTCTCTCTCTCCGTTATTAAAGTTGTCACCCTCACCTGTTTTACCATCCATTGTCCGCTTTCTTCCCCACCTACCTTTATCAATCCCTCAAAGAACCTGGTCCACGCCTTGGTTGGACGAATTCGTGAAAAACAAACTAACATACCCGGTCAGGCATCTTGTGACTAACCCCTGGGACGTACACCACACTCATAAATGCTACGGGGAGCGACGATTATAGTAATGTCGAGGGGGGGTCAACAATACCGAGACAATGACCAACGGCGTCGTGAGGATGATGACGAGAAGTGGTGCCGTGATCTTAGCCTCACCCACGATCAACAACACGATAAACACGCCTCGCGATCATAATGGTGAGACGACCGTCATTCGCAACATGAGGATCGAGGCCGCTATCCGACAACATCGAGACGACGATGGGTCTTACTCGAGTACTCACCATACGTGCAAGATGAGAATGGATCCTTCATCAGAAATAAGCCAGGTGCGTCAGCACTTCACGAACTTCCTCCCCTCCCCGCATGTAGCTTTCACTGCCCACCGCGTAGGAATCCTTCACCATGCTCGAAATTCAACCACGCCTGCAGATCCGTGGCAATTAGGAACTCCACCATCATGTTTCTATTCTCTTAATCTCACCAAGAATCGAGTACCCCGTTATGCTTTGCGCCCCTCCTTGCGCGCCTCGCTTTTTTTTTCCACCACCCCTCTGCGCTCTACTTCTCCGTCTTTTCCCAACACTCTGCTATTTAGCAATGTATCTGCCCGCAATCGTGGATATCAGGGGTCCCTGACAGTTTAGAGCATGGAGATTTCAGTGCTTGGTCGGGAAGACAACGAGATGATGGCAAAAGCTACGCCAATCTCCCTGATGAGCACGGACCCGATGATAAAAATAGTGAGTGAGGTCGGGCCCCGAGATGACTACCCATCGAAGAACGCTCCAGTAAGAGTGATCAATGACATACTCGATGTGCCTTTGAGACGAGGATAATCGCGGCGACTTCAGTAGCTATCACACCTGGAAAGGAGGGTGAAGTTCCCTCTGAACATGGCGAGGCGCGTTGTCGGAGGGCGCGGTGTCCCGACCCTCCTCCGTGTACCAAGTCCCTGCTTGGTACAGTCCCTCGCGTTGGTGCCTCGGCCTGTAGACGTGTCTTGGGTTTTCGTTGCCGTTAGTGCCCAGGTTGTGCTTCGGCTTGGACCAGTCCTGGTGGTTGTGCCCTTGACAAAAGGGGTGCGCCACAGGACTTCCATTGGTCCACGCAGGCTCGGCGCCCTGCTATACAGCAGAGCACGACCGGCCTGAAGTCGTGGTAGCCGCCGGGTCCGCCTTGGGACGCGGAGGTGAAAGGACCGACGCAATCCTTTCTACAACACATTGAGTGTTTTTTTGTCAGGTTATGGGTCAGGTACACTTAGTCGTTGTCAGGAATGAGAAGACTATGCAAGAGAGAACAGAAAGGGGGGAGAAAAGAAAAATAAAGAAAAAAATTAAAAAAAAGGGACTAGAGGCATGGCCCGCAGTTGGGTCGACGTGCCTTAGTAGGGAAAATTAGTCGGCCCCAATCACTATATCGCATCGTTTCAGATTGATGTTATTATTATTATTATTATTATTATTATTGTCAGAATTTTGTTTTGCTGTCTGCTTAAGTGTGGCTGAGCCTTAGTCGTGTCGCGGGAAGGGCCCACCAACAGTTCGAATTCGAACCCGTTTAAATTAGTGGCCTAGATGGGCCGACTTTTTGCTAACTTTTCCGCAGCTGTCACACTCGGCAGAGCGCCGCGCGACAGAACCCCAAAAAAGAGGGCGACCCGTGGCCGCATTGGCAGGAGGCGTATCACCCCCTATAAAGGGTCATAAGCCCCCTCCTTTCCATCGGACACGGGCATCCAGCGGAGATAGCACAGTGCTCTCTTTTAAGGTGAAAACCCGGACGGTCGGGATCCCGTTATGGGACCGTAGTGCCGGACCTGCTGTCTTATCGCGAGGGTCTGAGACTGACAAGTGCAAGGCTGGTTCACGATTGACCGTTGAGTTTCAGGCTCGAGTATTACTTTCTGAAAATCATTTAGTTTTTTTTTGTTTTGTTTATCGTCTCATTTTACTTATTACTTTATTTCAGAACCTTTTCTTTTTTTTTAAATTCGTGAATCCGGTAAGATCCGAAGAGGACTAATCGGAATACCTCATTTAGAACGCAGGAAGGCAAGCCTATAAAAAAAAAAGGAAGAGGGAGTCGGGATATCGTCCGCGGCCGACAACCTGGTAGCACGCAGTCTGTATCGCGGGCTCTGGTGGAGAGAGGCGTGCTATTGGAAGTTGATGGCCTTGCGCTGCGCTGTTTACTGAACGAGTGCTGGCTATTGAGAAAGAGCGGCTATGGCATTGCATGGGTACAGCCCCGGGTACTGGTATCACCAGGCCCGGTGGAAACCCATGTCTGGGGAAGGGCCCTGGATCACAATCATGCTCAACTACGATGGGGGTGATGAAGTGAGGATGAAGATTAATGTGGAAGGGGCTAAAGAGGTGGAGATGCAGACTGATGGAAAACTGCAGGATGCGATCACGGAGGCGAAAGACCATGCGGAGAGGCGCTGCAAGAGGGACGGAGTGACTGCAAGGTTGCAGGTAACGGTCTCGTATCATGAGATCGAGACCTCCATGGACACAGAGGACCTGGAACAAGCCCACGTGGACAGGGTCTCGGGTGGGGAGAGCGAGCTGAGTGAGGCAGGTAATCGGGAGATGGACCTCATGTCCTGTAATAGACCAGACGAGATCCAGAGGTATCACCGGGCCGCGAAGCCGGTGGAAGAGGGACCCGAGGCCAGCTCCCGACAGCTGACACCCAGAGGCCGTGGGACGGGTGAAAGGCATATCAGGGGGAAAAGACAGGTCTGAGGGGGCGTGAGAGAGGGTGAACGGGACTGAACCCGAAACAGAGAGACTGAGGCAAGGGCAGACACGAGGGCGCACGCGTGACAGGTGGCGTGGCTGGTAGAGCGAGAAGGCGGTCCACACAGAGAGAAAGAGAGAGAGGGTCAACGGAGAGGGAGAGACTAGAGCTGAGCGCACGCGGAGGGAGATGCTGACGTCAACCGGACTGCCGTACATGACAAGCTACAGAGAGTGAACATATGGGCTAGTCAGTGTGAGCAAGCGTGGTGATTGAGTCGAGAAGTAGTTATGTGCGCACGGGCTGCACGTAGCAAGGTCAGAGGCCGTGTGAGAAGAGGGTGAGGTCATCGCAGCCAACTGACAATGCTGTATTGCCATGGCAGTGAGAAGGTGAGCTGATTTTTTTGTGTGCGAGGGTGCTACACTCGATGTAAGTCGGTAGCATAGGAGGTAACTCCTCTTCTTCTCTACTTTGGTCTGTGCCCCGATCGGAGAACTTTCACCGCAGAACCTTCTGTTTGTCACCACCAATCTCCTGCTGATCAAAGAAGACACGGGCGCCGCGCGCAATCTGCAAAGGTAAAACGTGACCGGCATAACGGTGCGGTGATCACCGTCTGCATGCTGGACAGAGAGAAGGGAGACATGCGAGAGGATGTGCTCTCACGCGAGTGCGTGATGCGCATGAGTAAAGAGAGACAACTTGCTTGAAAACGTTTGCTCATGAGCTCACTGCTGACGTCAACACCTTTTCACGACATGAATCTTAATTCAACTTCAACACGACACCCATCTGTTTTTTGCTTCTTGAAGTTCGAATAGTTGAGAGGGAACGTACTGGCTGCTTACCGTTACGAACGGGGGGGGAGAGGCCATATCAAGTTTCGTTTTAAAGGATGCGAGGGATGAACATTGGTTGTTGATTAATGAGCTCGGTGATCAGTGCTGGACTAATGAGATCTGACATTTGATAGGCTGAGGACGTGAGCTCGAACTTTACACGCAAAGGCCAGTCACCTTTGACGGGAGTAATGGCGGTGAGACTGAAAGAACTAAACTGAGTGACAGCTAAGTATGCTTGAGTGTCAATAAGTCACACTGTTTAAGAAAATAGCTAGTTAACGATCATGATTTACAGAACCTCAATAAAACCCCAGTTGTTGCTCTCGTGCGAAATCTTGATAGGACTTGTTTTCATTTTCGGTTTCGATTTCTTTAAGTCTCGCTCTTAGCGGGAGTATTCTCTTTCCTGGTCAATCACGCGACTCGGGTACTTGCCCTACCATGACCCTGCCTGAAGAACTTCTGATCTACTTCTCGTAATTGCTCAAACTAAGTCCGTTGATGAATAAGAGAAAGTTAGTCCTGAGGAAAGTTGCCTATCTGCTGGCTAAGTATCTACTCGATGGAGATTAGTAGTCAGCTCTCTATTTTAGCTAATTACCTATATAATGGGCAATGGGCAAATGATCAAGAAAATGAGTGTACTTGTGGGGTTGAGGCAGTTCATGTCATGCAAACACTCAGTGGGACATTCAATTGAGTTTGGGTATGCTAATTCCCCTGTGAACCAGACTTCAAGTCATAAGTAGGAATGAAATAAAACCCTATAAATTGCTATGATATATTGAGACAATTTAGAGGGAAGCCTGAAGACGGAGGGATTCATATCTGCGAGACAAGTAATCGTGTGACTTTGTTATACCCCTGGGCAACAGTGTCTGAAGACTACTCGAGTGAGATCTATTGGTAGTAGCCTTTGGAAGTATTATGGGACAAGTTTTGTAGCCAGCTCGATGTTAAGCAGGGTTCCCTGATGACTCAGGCTCAGGTATCGCTCGAGTTAGTTAGAGAGGGTACTCTGTAGCGTCTAAATGTAATTCGTTGTTGCGTTACCCGTGCGAGAGAGATTTCCGCTGGCATTGCTTCTACATCTCCTTCATGCTTAATGGATTGTATGACGATTGTCAGAATCTATTGCACAAGTAATCATTACTAGCTAAAGCAAGATCATGCGTTAAACGAGGGCTAATTGATTTCGTGATTCGCTAAAATGGGGGCCCTTATCTGTGCAGTCATATGTGTGGGGAGGGAGACAGAACAGACCTTCGCCGAGAGTAACCCAAACCTTGCTATCCGGGGTTTTAGATCCAGCGGTAAGCGGCTTCGTCAAGCCTTTCGGTAGGGAAAACTTCCACTCGAAAGTGATTAGTTTATGAGTCACAGATCTCCTAATTCATGAGATGCCCAGCAATCCGTGTGAGCTCGCCGGCAGCACACTACCAACGAGACGCGTTGTAGTGAGACCACTGTAAATAACACGGGCATGTTCAGGTCGCATGAAGGGAACGTGTTAGTAGGACCCACTGCGTGATTAGAATCCTAGTCTGCACATGGGCATGTTTGGGTAAAAAACCCCGCTGAGAGTAGCATAGTATCAGGGCCAACTGAGCTGGCCTCGCACCCTGAGAGACTGAATCAGAGGCTGTCTGCGGCGGGAACTTTCGCCGTTTTGCTCCTATACCCGGTGAAACAACTATGATTTTTATTCATAAAAAGAAGAAAAACCCCGCATGACTTCCTCTCTTGCAAGAATGACTAGAGATGGGGGCAACTGATGAGGGGAAAGAGAGAGAGAGAGAGAAGCACATGGCGGATGGTGAGTTCCCTGCACGAAAGAGGATGAACTAGTGAAGGGATAATGAGACAGACTATGTTGCGTCCCCTTGAAAGCAAAGGAAAAGAGGGAATACTCAACACTTTTGCAAAATGAGACTCCTGCAAAATACACCGAACACTACCAAAATCTAGTCAAGTGAGCAGTGTAAGGTGATGCTGTTAAGCGGGCGGTGAATCAGTTAGTGTATAATCAAATGTTTGATCAAGTATTCTGTCGGAACTCTCGAGTGCCAGGTACAAGTCAGTGAACAGCAATGACATCCAGCAGCTCGTTGGCCATTGTTTAGTAGCTCATTACCCTAGCAGGTTTCAAGTAAATAGTCGGCCCTCAGATCAATGCTCAGATCAATACTCGGAACAGTACTCTGGACCGTACTCAGAATGGTGCTCAGGCCAATACTCAACAAATGTTCGGCTCTCAATCAACAATTAATCTTCTTTCTTTCTTTTTTTTGTATAATTAATCATCAACCAATCAACATTCAGACAGCGCCCTGGAAACGGGACTCAGGCAACTAGTCTCAGACAATTCGACTCGGTTTCAGACAAATCAAACTCAGACTGGACTTAAACAACCCTCCACAGACTCAAGTGGAAGTCCGACGGGCTTACAAAAGTCTCAGCGAGCTCAAGCTATCTCTGAATTTGAATGATATCAGGCAAGATGAGTTACACGTGATTTTCAAGTTCTGCATACTTAGGTTCAGACACGGCGAGGAAAACATGAAAGGTAGTGAGGTGCTAATTGTAAAGTGCAACTCTGTCAGAGACAAGGAGGAGGGATAGGAAGAAGAAGCATACAAAGACATGGAACTACATAAAAAAGTTCAACGCGAGTATGCAATTCAGATGGTGAAAGGTGAAGTGTACATTGAGTACGTGGTCTACTTTTATGGGCACGACGATAAATTACACAGTACCAGCTCCTCACTGGAGACGGTAGAGCAGGCTAGAGCAAAGCTCGCCTGATCTCTGTGGTACCTGAATTCCTTTTCGCTACAATTTAGTAAGCATCAGAGTCTGTGAGCACTTAGCAAAGTCTGCAGCCTGCTATGTTGCACAATGCCTCATGAATCAACAAACTGGTAGCTCAATGTGACCGCGCACACCCAATTGTGCTCGGACAACACTCAATTAAGCTTTCATCAAGCAGATAAGCATCTGACAGTCAGGAAGTCGGTTAGTATCACTGTTGTCTACGATTCAGCATCCAATTGTCCGAGTTAGTTGGAGTTCTCAGTTGGCGACTAATCAGTAATCAATCAGCTTTCTGATCAGCGAATCAATCAGCTTTCTGATCAGCAGAGAGACAGCATTCAGACAGCAATCAGAAGACAGCAATCAAAAAGCAGCAATCAGAAAGGAGCAGTCAGAAAACTGCAATCAGAAAACAGCAGTCAGAGACAACAGTTAAAAACAGCAGTCAGAAATAGCAACCAGAAAATGGCATTTAGAACGGTATTCAAAAGGCACTCAAACGGAGGACCTGTCATTCAAGCACAGTCACTTTTCTCTACCAAGGTGTAACTACGCATCCGGACATATGAGAGAAATCAACCCCATCACTGTTGATCAGTCGGTCCTTGACAGTCTCAATCTGATCGCTGCCAGGGAGAGCTTCCCCTACAGGTACGTCAGGATTGATGGGTTCAAGCGAGAAGACATGTCCATCTTCATCGTGCTCACTGAGTTCGTTGAAGGTACAATCAGTGACCTACAGATCTTCCTGAAAAAGGGGAACGAGACGCACCCTCATTTTAATGCAGTGTGGGAAACAGTAACCGGGTATGTGCAGTGGAAGGCTGAGAGACTCCAGGGGAACACAAAGCTAGTCTATAACTTTGGTCCTGAGCTTTTCACTGGCTATCCCAAACCTCCGGTCCCTTACTATCTTACTGACGACTCTTATTGGGGTGGACTGGTGGACTTGGCAAAGAGGTACATATCGCCTGCAGTGATCAACTATGAGGCAGTGACTGAGCCTTCCGAGTTTCCACATCTCAGGAGGGGTATTTTCTCTCGGCCCTACCTTCCCACGCTATGGGAGGAATTTTGTGCCATGCTTGACTTCCGTATTATGGGACTTGGCTATAAGTGTCTGGAACTAGTGGGCTTCAGGTGGCTTTACATTCAGAAGTCACAACCTCAAAGAGTATAGAGACATGGCAAGAGGCCCAGACGACAAGCAATAAAGTGACAGATGAAGAGTGAAGTTCTGAGGGTTGAGTGAGGACTCTTGATTGGTGCTGGTCATGTTCTCTTCCATATGTACTCCCTGGTAGGGGTTTCACCCCCGGACCCCCGCCACGGGGCTACGCGACCCCC